CATACCGAATATCATTCGTTTGGCTTTGTTTTGCATGGAAGTTGTCAATAAAAGTGAATTTTTTTTTTACCATTGTATCTAGAATTTGTTCCCATTGCACAACAAAAAAAAAAGTGGAAAATGTTTTCCCACAAAATAGGTGAGAAAACAAAATCAAGCTTTTGTGCATCAAATGATTGTACCTAGAAAAAGGTGGAAAACCAATTCCAGGGAAAAAAAAGTGCCATCAAACACGACAAAAGTAGGCAATGAAATTTCAATTCCAACTTCCATGGAAAATAAAGGGCTATCAAAGAGGCCCTAATAATAATATCCACATCTTATTCTTTAAACACCAAGCACACATTTATCTATTAATTTTTATTGGAGTTCAATATCACTAGATTATTATTTTGTTGCACTAAAAATCGTCAATTTTATCTATTGTCGCACTTGTGTCTTCATCTTTGTTATATTCTTACTCTTGATTTTCAATTACTAGCACATCTAAGCATTGATAATAAATTATGTTCAAATATTATGTTAGCATACTTTGAAATGAGGAGCAAATATTTGTCATACTTCAAAATGAGGAAATTCTTTTATGTTACCATAGCGGATTTTTTTGGAAATGAGTCATCATCAAGGACAAGATGTGGTTATTTATACAAATATTTACTCAGAGTTTTCTTTGTGTTGGGAGTGATTGGAGTGATCAAACTTTGTGTACAATGAGGCTCAAATCAAATTAATTCTTTGTTTAAATTGATTCAACTTACCCTCTCCACAAAAACCGAGAGGGCGTGTCATTCACACGCATTTGATTGGAAGTCTCTTGCCTCGTGATATTTGATTTTTCACGTGTGATTCACACACATTTATCTAAATTTACTTAATTTCACGTTCTAAACATATTTAAGTAACAAATAGGACACAGACTGCTTTTAATTAGCACATTAAACTAGGAAAAAAATGCTTAAATAGTTCAAAATATAATTACTAAATAAATTCGACTTCGTTTTCTAAAATACCTCTGAAGGAAGGAAAAATGGAAGATCATGGAATAACGATGATTGTGCTAAAAATTTAGGTTTCGATGCACTCTTTCTAATAGTTTATAATTAATAGAGAACCTATAAAAGATGCAAAATAAAATCAACTTAAATTCAGAACCGCTATTCAAAAACATTGGATCGCTCATCAAGATTTATACCATAGAATAAGGATTCCTAAATTATTTGGTCAAAAATAGCAAAACACAGGATTTGGTTCTTTTTTGTTCATACAAAAATGTTCCACTTAATTGACAAACGCAGACAGTTTAGATGGTGCACCTTAATCTATCATCAGAATTACTAACTAGAGAAAGGCACACAAGCCAAATACACATTACTATGATATTTAAATGCTCTATTTGATCAAAAGAATGGCATATTTCGCCCAGCGGACCTTTCTTCCAATCAGCTCTGGTTGTATGTAGGTGCATCATTCAATGATGGAGGAGGTGGTCTAGGTCTCGCATACTCAGCAAAAATAACCCATCCATCCAGAAACTACAAAGAAAACATAGAATACTCAAGATTCAAAATATGGAACCAAGGTGACATTTCTGCCACCCCAAAAAAAAAAAAAATAAACAAATAAAAGACCAAAGAATTGCACTGGCATGCTCAACATACATGCCCCATCACCAAAGTGAAAATGTTAAACGACCCCATTCAGTTTGGTCCTTATCATGCAGGGATTGCAAGGTGCAGATTTACTACAAATCTAACTTCACAAGATATGCAGAATATGGGCATATACAAATTCACGACATGGTTTCAAATCCAAACATTTTACCACTAAATAAGTTACCCAAGGACTACATTAGCATATATCGACCATCAAGATGAAGTTCATCTCCCCACATGCATTAGATAATATTAGGTCTCGTGTTCCATCTTAAAAGACCAACTCATAAGAGTTTGAGTTATTCCTCTTAATAAAGTTGCCTTTTAAGATGAAACCCAAGTTTTAATATGGTAATAGGACCCATTAAGCTCTAACGTGCAATTCGATCCAATCAAAACTCATAAAAATGACTACACGAATTTCAAGATTGATTTGCTTAAACGAGACACCATTTTGTGAGAATATGTGTATGGATAAATCCCACGTCGTATAAAGATGAAAACATAAAAACATAGACCAATTTATAATTGGACTACTCTTTTTAATAAGGTTGACATTTTAAGATGAAACCTCAAGTTTTAATAAATAATTACAGTTCCATGGGGAAAGGCCTTGAGAGGAAGAGATAATAATAACTTCAGAAAATGAAAAGCTGGTAGATGATCATGGTAACAGGAAATATTTTGTTCTATATCTAATTAGGTAAAGCTCAAAGAAAACTAGGAGGAAAGGAAGTTGTCCGCCATTTTAAGATATTGAATGCTGCATATTATTTCAGGGTAGGAATAAAACATTACACAACCTTCCAAACCCCACTTCCCAACTTTGTAAAAGGAAAAGTGAAGAGGACAAGAAAAAACAACCCAAAAGTGAAAGACGCTCCTTCTATTCTTCCAAAAGTGTGAGACGCAATCCCATTTTTCTACCCACACCCTTTACACGATTCCTCTCCCACGATCTCCTTCCAAACAGAGACTAGAGCTAAAATGTGCATTAAAGATCAGAAAAAGTTTTTTGTTCACTAGATCTAGAAGGTGTCCGTTCAGCCATCTCAACTCACCTGGCCATCCATTCCCTTTATACCAGCTGCAGCTTCCTCTAGAGTAGCATATCTTACAAAACCATAACCCTTGGAATAGCCAGATACGCGGTCAGTCACTACCTTGGCTGCAAGAGGAAAAAAAATGTGCATTCATTATTTGGTGTGAAAACTACATAGGTCTAATTTTCAAAGGAACTGAAAATGGAACATACCATGGAGCACTTCACCAAACTTTGCAAAGGCATCTCGAAGCCCTTCGGTAGTTGTGCGTTTGCTTAGCCCTGAACATAGTACAGGAAAAAAATAAAGGTCCAATGAAACTTGCAGACAGGCCTACAGCCCTGAAGACCAAAGAATACAACTATACCTAGAGGTCTAAGAGTAACAACATTTTATAATTAAAAAGGCAAACAGAAAATAGAGAAACAAAATGAATACATGAGACAGAGAAATATGCTCAGAGCACATTGGGGTTTACTGGTTTTGCAAAGATGCAATACCGCATCTTGATTTCTCTATGAAAAGTTAAATACAAACAATTCTCATTAAAAAAAAAAAAAAAAGACGGGGGAACATGACGTTGTCACCAGAAGCAGCTTCCCATGAAGTACGAGAAAAGTAACATGGACTGAAATGACAAGCATAAAATTTAAGAACTAGCTTTTCCAAAAGTACAATATATCTTCGCACAACATATAGGAATCATTACTACTCAAGTTATAATTCAAAAGAAGATTTCGTGATTGCAGGAAATGGGGGAAAAGAAACAGATGCTAATCGAGTTGATATAAGTTAAGATGATTTTTCCACCGGTTGCCGGACACTGGCCAGAACAATTACATCTACCTAGAGGAGTAGAAGAAGATGATGAATAGAGATGAAGAGAAAACCATAACAGCTACACTCCCAATTGTTACCTCCAGATGATTGTTTATAGAAGTTTTTTCTCCGAATAAAGAAAGTTCACCCAAATAAATAGTTAAATGCTGCATTTCAACATGAAATGTTGCTGGAAAATTCCAAATCTTAGATCCATTGTTTTAAATGTCGTCTAAGGCTTCTGCCTTGAGGTGCGTTTCATGCAAAGCTTGCTTTCATTGAATGCCTTGAGTGCTATTTTTCAAGGATTATATCTTGACTTATGAAGTCTTACACCTTGAGGGTAAGCCTCACGGTGACTAAGATGTGTACTTGATTGTCTTGCCTTTTCTAGGCTTTTTCCTCATTAGCCAAACTGTTTCGGCTATTTTCACTTAAGTTTAGAAAGTTTTTGTGGATTTCTTTTCCTACCTTTATGCAGAAGTGGAAAACTCCATTTCAGGTGGAAGTCAATCAGAGAGTGAGAAATAATTGATAGTAGAGGATGATATGGGAGACTTCTAGATTATAGCTACTTCTAGTAGTGTATTGCTAAATTTGATATGTGATTACCATTCAAAAACATATTATCTGCTATTAATCTAGTTTTTGACTATTTGTGATTTTTAATGTGAACTTTTATATAGTTCATGGCTTATCATGAGCAAAATTTTGTACATTTGCAAATTTTTTATAATTAGTTCATTTGTATATGGTGGAAAGTTAAGTGGAAAAATGCTTTAGGCTTTCTAAACACTGGAAAAATAAACTGTTTTGACACTTCTAGTAGAACATCTTAAATATTTATTCACGGGATCATACTAATGCAGCGTCCTGCATTATGGCCTTAAAGCGAAGATGGTTGCGCTGGGTCATCGGCCAACCAAAATATGGAAACAATTTACTAGCTATCAAAAGAACCAATCCAGTTTTCTACACTGAGTTTCAGAGGTGGATGCTTTCATCGAGTCAATCGGTAAGCTTAACAAGATAGCAAAACAATTTTTGCATTGTTCTCTAAAGCACTGATGAGGGATTAAATACATCAAGGTAGGAAATTTAAACATCATTGATAACTATGATAGCTACAACCCGCTAATCTTACATTCTTAATGACCTAGTCATATCGCAGAAAGTATAAATTTCGATACCTACCCACTTAACTTAACCGACTAGTGAATACATAAATATGCTCAGTAAACTTACCTGTTCAATAGAAAATCCATAAAAATGTAACAGAAATATCAAAATTAAAATCTTTCCCATCCAATCGATTTTTTCCCTAAACTAAACCGATGAATAATTAGGCAACATACAATTAATAGCGCCAAGTAAAAAACTATATTAAATCAAAGGGAAAGAAGCAAAAATAATAAAGAAATGAAAAGCATTTGGAGAAGATGATGCGGTATGTACCCGAAACAAAGAGATTTGTGGAAGGTTCGGCCTGAGGAGGCTTCTCTGTTTGAGTCTGTGGTAGATTAAAGGGAAAGCCTGAAGTTAACGACGAATATAGAGCCCTTACACCCCTAGGTGCCGCAAAGGAAGCCACCGCCGCCTGGGTAGCCGCTGCTCTCATCGCCATATTAAGCTGCAACAGGAGTTTTAGCGAGGTTTCTAGAGGGAGAATATGGTTTGAGGAGGTAAATGTGTAAATATGGGAAATAGGGAGCAGATTATTTGCACAAATTGTCCCTAATGTATGACACTCACGTGGAATCAGGACTTATATTTTCAAGCTTAGCATTACCATCCTCAATAGAAATTTAAGTGCGGAAATTGTTTTCTTTCCCGATGGATGACTTCTGAAAAGTAATTTTTTTAAAAAATAAAATAAAACTACAATACCCTAAAATTTAATTAACACAAATAAAAAAAAAGTAAAAAAAAGGGATATTTATCTTGGACCGTGCTGCTTGCACAGATCGGTACAAGATCTGTGCAAGCCAATGGGTCTTGGGGTGGGTGGGTTTATTAACATTTGGGGAGGAGGGTTTAGTGAGGTGGGTCCCGGGGGGTTTAATGAGAAGCTCATGTGAGAGGATCTGTTCAAGATCGGTACAAATCGATCTGTTCAAATGACATTTTCCATTTATCTTTCCCAAAAACCCACTTGACGCCCATTACTCGAGCTCCCTACTTTCATTTCACGCCACCGCCCCTTTAACACAAACACTTCCTCAAAAAACAATTTCGAATTACTTTTTCAAACTTTTCCTTTTTCTTTAAGTGATTTTTAGACTCTTTCTCATCCTCCTCCATGTGTGCTTATATTTTTGTAAATTTCTATAAATTTTAAAAATCAAGAAAACCCAAACTCTTTTTACGCTTAACCAAGAGACACAAAAGAGCTCTTTTCGAACAAACATTAGATAGACCTTATTATTGCAAGATGCTCAAATTCTAATTTCAAGATACAAATGTTGACAAAAGAAAGAGAAATTAAGAAAATTCTAAATTCCCCTCTGTTTTTGAAGCTTCGAACTTTAAGGCCATGTTTGATGTTAAATTTTTGGTTGTTTGATAGTCAAATTTTTCTTTGCACTTGGTTCCCCCCCCCCCCCCCCCCCCC